TACTGAGAAAGGTCGAGTCTCTTTTTCTGCACATAAGACATCCAGTTTTCCCAGCACAATTTACTGAAGACTTTCCTTTCTACAATGTATGTTTTTGCTGCCTTTGTCAAAAATTAGTTGGCTTTAAATACATGAGTTCTTATTTCTGGGTTCTTTATTCTGCTCTGTTGGTCTATGTGTCTTTTTGTGCCAGCACCATGTGGTTTTGGTACTGTGGCTTTACAGTATGTTTTGAAATCAGGTATTTTAATGCCTCCAATTTGGTCTTAGGACTTTGTTGGCTATTTGGGTCTTTGGTGGTTCCAGACAAATTTTAGGTTGTTTTTTTTTTTTTTTCTATTTCCAGTCAATGTTTCTGTTAATTTTGATGGGAATTACATTGAATCTGTAGATCACCTTGGGTAATATGGATATTTTGATAGAATTGATTTTTCTAATCCATGAACATGAGATATTCTTTCATTTTGGGGGGCCAGTGTGTGTAGTCTTCAATTTCATTTAGAGAATTTCTTTTTTTTCCTCTTTTTTTTTTTTTTTTTTGAGACAGGGTCTCGCTCTGTAATTCAGGCTGGCCTTGAACTCACTATGTAGCCCGGGGTGGCCTCGAACTCACAGCAATCCTCCTACCTCAGCCTCCCAAGTGCTGGGATTATAGCCATATACCACCACACCTGGCTTCTCTTTTCTTTTTCTCTTTTTCTCTGTCTCTCTCTCTCTTTCTTTCTTTCTTTCTTTCTTTCTTTCTTTCTTTCTGTTTTTGCTTTTGAGATAGGGTCTCACTATGTAGTCTATGCTGGCCTTGAAGTCACTATGTGGTTCAGGCTGGCCTTGAACTCAGTCTTCCTGCATCAGCCTCCTGAGTGCTGGGATTACAGGTGTGCACCACCATCTCTGCCTCAGAGAATTTCTGTATGGCCAGCTTTTCACAGAAAGTGGGGAGAAGTTAGAGTAATATTTTTAGGATTTTTGACTGGCTTTGGGGCTTACCTCAGAGGAGAATGCAGCGTAAGAGGCAGGAGGGTAGGATAAGGTCAGAGAAAAATTTGGCTTTTGAGGCCTTCCCTTTGGGATGTATTTTTCTGAGCCCCAGCAGAACCACAGGCAGGGCCTCCCCGGAGAAGCGAGGGCTTGTGCACTGGAGAGGAATGATCTGGTACTTCAGGCACTGCATAAAGAGGCATTACACAACAGGCTGCTTCTCTAAAAGGGAAATTAAGGCAACAAGACAAAGTTGGAGTTGGGGAAGAAATGCTGGAGACCCAACAAAAGGACAAACAGCTACTACAACAGGGTCAGATTTTGAGGCGGGGAAGAAAGAGAGCCGGGCTGCTGCCATCAGCTGATTCTGAGCCATTTGACCTCTGGATTCCCACTCACACGAACCAGAGTCAGCTGGATTTTCTGTTGCTTACAGCCAGTGCCTCCTGAGTGCAGTGGTGATTACATGTAAAGGCCAACTTTAGCAGCCGCAGAAGCAGGAAAACCAGGGAGAAGGGCTGGGTTCTAGACCCATTTCTTCCAGGTGTCTCTCAACAAAAGCATTTGATTTCTGAACCTTGGTTTCCTCTCCCCCCACCCCGGATTGTTATGAAGTAAAATGAAGGATATAAAAGCCCCATATAGACTGAAGTGCAAAGGATTATTATTTTTTTCCCCACAGGCTCTTGTAATCAAATGAGACAGGAACAAAACATGATAATAAATGAACAAACAAACAGCTGTTTTCTCAAAGGCTTTAACATTCCAGGTTCCCATTTGGCCCAAGTTTTCATGTGTTCTCTATACTTGGCAGCTGGGTGGGAGGTAGTGAGAGATAGGAGAGAGAAGGGAATGCTTTGAAGTAGAATTAGGTCAAAGCTGATCATTAAACAGTGTGTGGATTTTAGAAATTTGCTTTTCCTTTTCTCTGTGGTCTTAAGGAAGCACTGAAGAAACAGTAGGAGGGGAGGGAAACGGATGCCAGATGCACCAGATGTTCTATGGTCATCCTCTTATTTTATCCTTACAGCAGCCCTTGGAGGTAGACATGATTACCTCCATTTTTCAGACATAGAAATGGTTCAGAGAGGTGAGGTATGGATTTGCTGTAGATATGGACTTGAATTTAGCCTCAGATTCCACATCTCAGACTCTTTTCAGTACAGCTCGCCAGCGCTCAGGAAAACATAAAAGCGTGTTCCCTTGGGTATTTGAGCACCAAAAGTTTAAATGGAGCTTTGAGAGGGTTGAGGAAGGATTGTTTCCTCAGCCTAACCTCAAACATTCTTTTTTTCTGAGGAAGGCAACTGGGGTAAAAATAACATGGTCATCTTTGGAAATACTGAGGATTTGTTTGAAGGATGTTAAAGGAGCTGGTCATAGAGAGTGAAGTAAGGGTGAGGGTAGCAGACGAAGGAGCTGGGTCGCTTGGTGACAGGGAAGAGAAAGAAACTTACTCTTTGCTGTTGGCCTTCCTACTTTTTCAATGAATGAACATGATGTTTTTTAAAGAGCAGTTTTAGGAGGGCTGGGGATGTAGTTCAACATCTGCCTAGCAAGCACAAAGTCCTGAGTTCGATCCCCGGGAACGGGGGTGGGGTGGGGCACAGTTTTAGGGTAAGGAAAATCGAGTGGAAAGGGTCTTGGATGCAAATCAGTGATAGAGTGCTTGCCTACCATGTATTATACTGGGGTTGAACCCCTACAGCACAAAAAAATTTGAGCAGAAAATGGAGATTTCCGACAGACTGCCTGTCACCACACATAGACAATCCCCATCCTCTGGACATATCACTTTAGATTGGTATCTTTGTTATGACTGATGAACCTACACTGATATTTCATTATTATCCATAGTTTACATTAGGGTGTTTTACAGTCTCTGGGTTCTAACAAAAATATAATGACACTGTCCACCACTGTTGCGCCATAGAGAATAGTTTCATTGCCCTAAAATCCTCTGTGCTCTGCCTATTCAAGCCCTTCTCCTCCTAACCCCTGGCAACCACGGATCCTTTTATTGTCTTCATAGTTTTTAGTGTAAGTTTTTGGAGATGCTGTTTATCAAGTTGAGGAAACTCTTCTCAATTCCTTGTTTGCTTACAATTTTTTTTTAAATCAAGAATGGGCATTGGAGTTGGTCATGCTTTTTCTACATCTGATTGATACAATCAGGTGAAATTTCCCATTAGCCTGTTGATATAATGGATTATACTAATTGAACCAACTTGAATACATGAGATAAATTCCACTTGGTCATTGTGATGGACCATATCACCTGAAATTTATATGTTGAAGCTAATTCCTAATGTGGAAGTGAGCCCTTTGGGAGTTGATTGAGTGCCCTTACTACAGACTGCAGAGAGTTCCCTAACCTCTTTCATCAAGTGAGGACACAGAAAAAATGATGGCCTTTTATGAAACAGGAAGTGGATCCTCACCAGGCATCAAATCTGCTATCATCTTGATCTTGGACTTTGCCTATAGAACTATGAGAAATAAATGCTTATTGTTTAAACCACCCAGTTTATCATATCTTTATATAGAAGCCTGAATGGACTAAGACAATCATTTGTGTGAGACTACTTATGGGCTTTCCATTCCATAACTCTTTTTATACATTGTTGGATTTGATTTACTATTTTATTGAGAACTTTTATGTCTGGTTTATGACAAATATTGGGCTGAAGTTTTCTTTTCTTGTAAAGCTTTAGATTGGTTTTGATATAAGGGTAATTCTGGCCTCATCAAATGAGTTATGAAGCATTTCTTCTGCTTTTTCCTTCTGGAAGAGATTGTAGAGACTTGGAATAATTTTTTTCCTTAAATGTTTGGTGAAATTCACTCTGGGCCGGTTGCTTTTTGTTTCAGAAAGTTATTAATTATTGACTCAGTTTCCTTAATAGATAAAGTCCTATTCAGATTTGCCTATTTCTTCTGGTATGAGTTATGGAAGATTATCTTTTAAGGAATTAATCCATTTCATCTAAGTTACCAAAGTTGGAGGCATACAGTTGTTTATATTGTTTCTTAATTATTCTTTTAAGTTTCATAAGCTCTGTAGTGACATCTGTGTATATCCTTTCTCCCTTACTCTGGCTAGAGGTTTATTGATTGTATTGATTTTTTCAAAGAACGAGCTTCTAGTTTTGTTGATTTTTCTCTACTGATTTCCTACTCATAATTTCTTTGATTTCTTCTCTAATTTTCTTTGTTTCTTCCTCCCCTACTTCCTTTCTTCTTTATAGGGTCTTGCAATGTTACCCAAACTGGCCTCAAATTCCTAGGCTCAAATGATCCTCCTTCCTCAGCTTTGTGAGTAACTGGGACTATAGGCACACACCACTGAGGCCATATTATTTCTTTTCTTCTGCCCACTTTGGACTTAATTTGCTCTTCTTCTAGTTTCCTAAGTAGAAGCTCAGGTTATTGATTTTATTGTTTTTGGGTTTTTTTGGGTACTGGAGATCAAACTCGGGACCTTACGCTTACGAGGCAGGCACCAGAACCACTGAGCTAAATCCCCGGCCCTAGGTTATTGATTTTAGATATTTCTTTTCTAGTATGTGCATTCAGTGCTATAAATTTTCATTAAGTACCACTTTTGCTGCATCCTACATTTTTTTTTTTTTGAGCTTTGGGTCTGATCAGTGCTGCTCTGGGCAACAAAGATGAAAGCCCCCAGCATACCACACCTTCTAGTCAGTACATCAGGAGAAACAGATGGAACAAATGACTTGCAGAGAGTTCAGTACATCGGTTTAAACAAGGTGTAACAAATGGATCCTACATATTTTGATAAGCTGTATTTTACTTAATTCAAAATATTTTAAAATTTTTAATGAAATTTATTCTCTGGCCCATGTGTTCTTTTGAAATGTATTGCTTAATCTTCAAGTATGTTGGTGTCTTCCAGTTATCTTTCTGTTCCTGATTTTGAATTCAATTTCATTTGGACTGAGAAAATATATCAAATGATTTTTATTCTTGTAAATTTTTAAGGTATGTTTTATAGACCCAAATGTTGTCTATTCTTGGTGAATGTTCTATAAGATCTTGAAAAGAATGTATATTCTGCTGTTGGATGGAGTGGTCTAAAGATGTCAGTTATATCTGGTTGGCCGATAGTGGTACTAAATTCAACTATATTCTTTTTGTTGCTATTTTTATAACATTTAACTTTTTTTTAATTCTGGAGGGATTAAGTTAGGAGCAAAAGTAAAAAGTTAATTTTCTTTTACAGTGTTGGGGACTGAACCCAGGGCCTAAAATATGTTAGCCAAGCGCCCTTCCACTGAGCTACACCCTCAGACTCTTAACATTCAACATTTAGAGAAACAAAGAATTAGTCTAAAATGTAAAAATTCAATTTCTAGACTATATGCCGGGGTCAGTACAAATTTGTGCCAGTGTCTTATTCTCTGCATATCTGTGATCCCAGCTGGTGAGCCCTAAATTAGGGTGATGACCCCTGAGGCTGAGAGACATCCTCCATCCTCAAAAAGAGATCTTCTTCTGCTCACTGACCTCTGCTTAGGCAAGAATGTGCCTGGATTGAGATGTTTTGCAAATCATTGGCAAGACTTGAGCTGTAATGACATTTTCTTCTTAGCCGTATCTCCTACTTTGTAAGACAAAATTTGGATTTCATTATCCTTGACATCCCAGAAAGGAAAAGGGATTAGGCTGTCTGAGTGAATCTACAGAGGATGCAAGTGCCCAGGGTGGTCAGCAGCAGGGCAAGGGGTAAAGTGCTAGTTTCCTGGGGTGGTTGTTGTCATATACCACACATGCGGTGCCTTCAAATAACAGAAATTTACTTTCCACAGTTCCATTGACCGGAAGTCTGAAGTCAAGGTGTCAGCAGGCCCATGCTCCCTCTGAAGGCTCCAGGGGAGGATCCTTCTTCGCCTCTTCCCAGCTCCTGGTCACGGCTGACATTCCTTGCTGTTTCTTGGCTTGTAGATGTGTGATTCCCATCTCTGCCTCCCTCCTCACATGGCTGACTCCTGTGTGTCCCTGTGTCTCTGTTATCTCTTCCTATAAGGACACCAGTCATTGGACCAAGGCCCACTTGTCTTAACTAATTACATTTGCAAAGATCCTATTTCTAAATCAGGTTACATTCACAGGTAAGGGCTTTAGTATTTCTTTCCTGGGGACACAATTCAACCCACAATAGAGTGCTTTTTCTATCTTCTAAATTTACCAGCAGAAGATATTTACTGAAATTATTTGACAGGTGGGATAGGATTAACTGACTGAAGGAGGAGGGCAGGAAGGTGAACTCCTGGAGTGTTTCTGCAGACTGGGGTGGTGGGGGGTCAGTGGAGGCCTATGGGGGCCAACTTAAACCCTTGGCAGAGGCAGATTTTTTGAAATTGACATCTGAAGTGCAGAATACAATCGCTAGTCTTCACCTGACCCATAACTTCAAAATAAATGCTGGCAAATTAATCCGTTTCATCATTTATGAGGTAAAACATCCCAATTTTTTTTTTTTTTTTTTGCACCGGGGATTGAATTCTGGTCCTTGCGCTTGTGCAGCAGGCAGCGAAACCACTGAGCTAAATCCCTGGCCCACTCATCCCAATTTTTAAGAGAGGTCTCTCAGAATTCTGATTAGATGTATCATCAAACAGTTCCAAAAAATTGTGCCTGATGCTGACTCAGGCCTGGCAGGGCAAACTGCCACAGGCATTCAGCTCTCTGGCATCGATTTGTGACTTCCCAGCGGGTGAACCTCAGGGGTAGAAACCCACAGGCCAGATTGCCTTCTTAGATTAATATTTAATAGGGTGACCACCCCCTTCCAGCCTGCCAGCCCAGATCGGTGCCACAAGCCAAGGCTTGGCCTTGCTGTGCACAAAGGCTGTGAGGAAGATTTGGCAAAGTTTTAATTAACTAAAGATAAACATACACAGGGAGCATGAGTCCATTAGCTGGCAGCACCACCCAGAGAGAAAAAGCCTCACTAATCACATGGCACAGCAGGTGAAATGACCTGTGGACCTGCTGTGGCCATTTGGTTTCAAATTAAGAAACATATTTTCAAAATAAATATGTGTGGGTTCCTTGTTTGTCATGTTTCCTCCTGAAAAGTAGAAAAGCTGGGATATTAATGAGCAATGGTTTTCAGTATTTTAGCCCAGGAAAGCTGAAAACAGGAGTACAGCAAAGCAAAGCTGGGATGGCCCCTTTCTTGGAAGAGGGAGAGAAGCCAATCAAAGGCAGCTGGAATAGAGGAGCCCCTTTCCTGGGGAAGACTCTCAGTAACAGCCTGGGTCGGGGCTGGATGAATTGAATCTTGAAGTGAGTGAGGAATCAGGTGGCGTGCGGATGGGCTACTTGCTCTGTCAAGGAGTTGGCAAAGTTAGATCTTCAATAAGTCTTCAGTTTACTAACCTGTGTCTGGACTGAAAGCTGGATGAGCAGCATTTACAGTATTCTAGAAGGAAGAATTTGTATCATTTGGCCAGAAAGTGGATACTTCATGCGCTTGTTAGGGTATATATTCATCACAATATGTAACAAGTGCTATTCCTACTCTGCCACAGAGCAAAGAGATTTAACAAAATGTATGTTCTCACGCAGCTTACATTCAGTGGGGGAAACAGACAAGCACTTATGAAAGTATAGGGTGGCAATTGAGGTGGAGGCCTGAATGGTGGGTGAGAAAGAGATTTGAGGAGGGCATTCCAGGGAACAGCAAGTGCAAAGGCTGGGTAGAAGGTCGGGGCTTGATCTATGGGAGGAATGGAGAAAAGAGCAGTGTGGTTGGAGCTCAGTGAGAAAGAAGATGAGCAGTAGAAGGAAAGATTAGGCAGGTTATTCCAAGAGCAGTTCTTTATATGAAACTTGTTGTTTCTACCAGATTACAAGCTCCTAGAGGGCAGACACTATATCTGTTTTGCTCACTGAATATCCAGTTTGCATTCCAGGGTGTGTAGGGCTACCTTTTCTTTTCCTTTGTGTCAGATGCTTTTCTTTTGAACCTTCTGTATGTAGTATGGTCACCCTGGCTCCAAGAAACCTCTAGTGATCCTTGCTTCCTTATGCCCCTCTTTCTGTTTTGGGGGGTTTTTTTGGTACCGGGGATCAATCTCAGGTCTTTGTGCTTTCGAGCCTCTGGTTTTTTGAGACAAAGTCTTACTATGTTGTCCAGGCCAGCCTTGAACTCTCTGTGGCCTTGAACTTGAGATCCTCCCTCCTCTGCCTCTGGAGAGCTGGAATTACAGGAATGTGTCACTGCCACGGCTGGGTCTGAGGGTTTCCAGGGCTGAAATAAGGGATTTAACCCACCCCTTTAAAGTAAATATGCAGGTTTGCTGCCTCTCATCATGGAAAAAGAATTTTTAGATCATGTCAGTAATAGAAGCATGAGAAGAATTTATTAGAGGAAGATATAGGATGAACTCAAGAGCTGAGTGTGGGTGCTCAAAGAAATTAGGTGCAATACAGTCAGGAATTGGAGATCTTTTATGTGTTTGGGGAGGTGGAAATCTGTGGAATTCAACAATATCCAGTCTTAGTCTTAATCTCAGGGGGAGAGGCTAGCCCACCCCTAGTGAGATAATGCTCTGTTCCTGTGGGAAATGTCAAAAGGGCGGTCCATTCAGGGGTGAAAGAGGCCATTTGCAAGTAAAAGGGAATGGACAGATCCATTTGCAGCTGAAAGGGAATTGCCCAGGTTTGCTGTTTGGGGAGAAGGAAAAAAGGCAAATAAACCCCGATTGTATTCTGAAGCTGCAGTACAGTTTTAAAATTTTTGATTTCCTTGTCTCTTTTCTATCTAGCTTTATTTCTTCTATCCTACCTCACCACCATGCCTGGGTCCTGATTAGTCCTCCTGAGATAGGAGATCAGGGCTCCACGAAGCTGGCTGGGGAAGGAGGCGTGACCTGTTCATTTCGAGCTCCCAGCACAGGTGTGAAAGAGTTCTCAAAGCCCTACACGTGGACTTCTTTGGAGCACTCCAGCAGGTTTTCAATAGGAGGTGTAGATGTCAGCCTGAGACTGGTGATCTCAGCACCGCCTCTCAGGATCTCTATGTAAAAGTTCTCGAGGGTTTCCTCGAGATTTGGACTGCATAAAAGGAGGGGCAAGCCATCAAGAGCGTGTTATCATGGCTTTTCCTCATGATAGCTCATTCTACTTTCTCCAAGGTGTTCTTTCATCTTGCTTTGTCCTCTTTTACTTGTCCCAAGCTTGCCCTGTAGAGTCAGTTTCTCCCTCACTCTTCACTTTTACTTTCTCAAATAAACTTGGCCACTGCTTTTGGCTCTTTTTATTCAATTCTTTGTTTGAGGTGAGAAAAACCTGTAACCTAATTCCAGAGGGGGAGCAAACAACGCAGAACCTGGTAACGTTTAGGTGGTGAGACACTTTTAGAAGCAGGCTACCCTTCACACTGAAAGGGCTGGACCTTTGACCGGTAAAACAAAATAGAAGTGATTGTGTGTGACTTTCAAGACAAGGCTACAACAGTCATTCCAACACTGGCCTTGGTCTCTTGGATATCATGCTCTAGGAAAGGCCAGCTAAGGTACCATGTGGACACCCCTGTGGCCCTGTGGAGAGGAGCTGAGTCCCTGGACAAGAGTCAGCAGTCAACTTGCCAGTCATGTTAATGAGCCTTCCTGGAAGTGGATCCTCTACCCACCTGGAGACTTCAGGTGACTCTACCTCCAGGCCACATGTGATTGCAACTCCAAGAGAGCCCCTTAACCAGAACTGCCCAGCTGAGACCTCCCCAAATTCCTGACAACAGAACCATGAGAGGGTAAGTGATTATGGTTTTAAGCCATTAGGTTTTGGGTGATTGTCGTGCAGTGTAGCTAGAGTACATAGTATCACTTCACATTCAAAGTAGTGAGGTAAAGACACAACTGTGAAGAAGTCCTTAGAATGGACCTTTTCATGTGGGACAGAGGGCTGAGGGTCACCTGACGCAAGGGAAGGGCTAATGCTATTCCATGTGGACACCTAACAGTCAGGTCTGAATGATGAAACCATGGATGAGACCATTTAAAAATTATCAGTTATATCCTATGAGGGAGACAAAAGCCAAGGACTCAAAATAAAATTGCCAGAATCTAGAACCTATGTAACTTGCTCAAGTTTGTTGTTATCACCCTGGTGTAGTTTTTCAGGGCAAAAGACACTTCAATTTCTGTTTAAGGTAACGAGCAGGGCGAAGCGGGGAGGCGTGGTCCCTTGCAAAGCTACTTTGGAGGAGCTCCAGGACGAGGAGATCAGGCTGAGGCTTTGGGAATCTGAGGAGGGAATCAAGTCAGGCCTCGGGCCTGAGGCACGACCCTCCCACTTTTCCATCAGAAGGCCACTGCTGGAGGGTGTTGAATGACAGGACACTGGTTCAGGGATGTCCTGGGGCAGAGGCCCAACTACCCACCTCCCTGCCTTCCCGAGTCTCCACTCTCACCTGAGCCCCTCACAGGTGAAAACTCAGTCATCTCAATTAGAATTAGCTGTGCAAGGCATGTGCCCAGGAAGTTATTCATCTTCAAACAACCCCCTCCTGACACATTTGTCTGGTTACTTATTTCTATAATTAATTGATGCTCTTCAATTAAGGTCTGTTGAATTCTTGTGTCAAAATAAATTTTATCTGGAATGCCCACGTACCAATGACAGCCATGCTCTTCCAGTTAGGGTGGACAGGGCAGGGGGTGCTGAGCCCTAAACCCCTCAATATTCCAAGGTCCTTCCCAGGAACTCTAGCATGCCGAAGATCAGAGCTTACAAACCACAGAGAGGATATTATGGAGGCTACCACACAGTTTTGTAATGGTGTGCCGTTCCTGATAATTTGTGCCACTGTTTTTTTTCCCCACTACTGTGGATAAATAGATAAACCTTCCTCAGGTACCACCTCATCACACATCCCAGACTGTAGGTCCTTTCCAGTCAGACTCCCTTCTGTAGTACCAAGCCCCACACCTCAGGTCCTGCATTTCCACTTCCCCCACCTGGGATGCCAGCCTCCCCCATCTTCCAGGCCCTGCCTGTACCCCACTTCTGAGGAGACAACCCTTTCCCCAGTCCAAGAGACTTTCTCTCATTGGCATTGGTTGGCGTATGCTGTCCACACCAGTTCTTTGTCCTTTCAAATTACCCGTGAGTCAAAAGTTCCAGAAATAGGTTGCTGGGCAGGGACCTCAGGGATAGTTTGGTTTAAGCTCTTACAGCATGGATGAGGGGAGTTGAAGTGACTCGGGCAAGGTCACAATTACTTACCTTTGAGAATCCAAGCCAGGTAAACCACTCTGTGACCTGCTTAAAGGCAGAGACTGTGTTTTAAATTTATTTCAATTCCTTATATCTAGAAGGTGTTCAGTTCATATTTCTGGAGTCATTGCTGGGTTAGTGGTTGAGGACCAGCAAGGAAAGCATTCCCTTCATTTTGAAGCCAATCAAGTCCAGCATGAAAATGAAGCTGAGAGGTGGCAACTGAGAAATGTTTGTTACTCAAACTGCCACTGCCAGATCTGGCCTCTAGAGGGCACACGTGAAAGTAGGGCAAAGAAGTGTCCTTCTGTCAGTGGGCAGATCTGAGGAGACCAAAGCTGAGATAAGGAACCTACCCCCCCCCCCCCCCCAGCTTAGAATAAGTTTGCAAGTTTGCTGACTCCTGTTGAAAAACCTGAAAGAATTTTCAGGATGGATCAGTAGAGAGCATAAGGGGATTATTAGGCAGAAACTTAGAAATACACACTCAAAGAAATAGAGTGCAGGCCCTCCTGAGAGAGGTACATTATTTCCTGGAACTGGGAACATTTCAGCTTCTCTTAAGGGGGTAGAACCTTCAGGAGGAGGTGGGCCACCCCTCAGAAGGTATTGGCCCTTTTTATAGGTATGAGCCCAGGTTTTTGAGTATAATTTAAGCCTTCTTTGAATTCTCTCAACCTGTTCCTTTATATTAGGATCTTTATTTTCTTAAGCCAACTTCTGGACTTACAGTATTTTTGAGGAATTTTGGGTGTGATGGATCTAGAAGGAAAGGAGTCTACATGAAGCAAGGGAATGTTGATATGAATCACCGTGGGTAGCTTCTACTGGCTCCTGCAAGTTGCAGTCTTTTTAAGCACAAGCTTTAGTTAGGAAGCTTGCCTCTTTTCTACTTATTTTTTTCTATCCTACCTAACCTCTACCCGAAGTCATCTTCGGAGTACCAGCATGTAAAGTTAACCAGGCCAGTCTTGCCTTGATGTTTGTAACTGTGTGTCTCGGGAAAGTCATTTAGTCTCTGAAATTAACCTTTTGATTTATAAAATAGAATACCATGAGGGTTGAGAAATCTTTAATAAAGCACTTGGTATACTCAGGCACCCAGTAAATTGTTAATTAAAAAAATTACATCACTCTTAATTTTTCCATTTTATTGTGAAAATTTTCAAACATAGTAAAATAGCATTTTTACAACAAATACTATATACACACTACCTAGATTTTACTATTAACATTTTACTAAAATTGCTTTTCCCTCTTTTATCTATCTTTCCATTCATCTACTCATGAAACTATTTTATTTAAGCAACACATTTCAGAGTAAATTGCAGATGTCAGTACACTTTCCCATAAATACTTTAGCATGTGTATCATTAACTAGAGTTCAATATTTGTTTAGTTTTTATTGGATATAAATTTAGATACAATGAAATGCATCAGTCTTAAGTATATATTTGCTGAGTTTTGACAAATGCAAACACCTGTGTAATGCATGAAATATATAGAACACTTCTATCACCACAGTTTGCTCCTGCCCCTTTCCAGCCCCTCCTGCCCTCTACCCCAGGGTTGCTCCCAAAGCATTGTCAGATTTTTTGCTTTATAGATTGCCTATTATAGAACATCACATAAATGGAATCATATTTGAGAAAGTTCCTAAACATCTATGGATTTACCCAGTTCCCCCCTTTCTCACTCGTAGTTCACAAAAATAACTGCAGAATGCACTGAGAACACAACCTCAACATAGGAAGGAGCTGTCTGGAAGCTCAGGCTCCGTTTTAGCCCCCCATAGGTTGTCCTTCAATAATTAGTTTAATAAGTCACATTCCCTGGGGTCTGAATCCCAGAGTGGATTGCTTTCCAGGGTCCCAGTGGAGGTGTGGAATGCACAGCGAGACGCTATCCATTCTTGAACCTTGGGGCACCGATTTACAGTGGATCCTGGGCCTCTTATCCCTTGCTGCTTATCTGTGAGTAATAAGGCTGGTTTATGTGTGTCTCCTGTCTCACTGGACTCAGATACGTTGGCAGTCAGCACTCAATGAGACTGCTTCACTCATATCGAACGTTATTTTCTGTAATGTTCCTTTCACTGTGTGATGTTGAAGCTCTCCCAAATTTTGTGATCAGTGGTCCATCTTTTTATTGCTGAATAGTGTTCTACTGCACGAATATATCACTGCTAGTTTATCCATCATCCTACAGTTAGTTTTTACACTTGATCTTAGCCAAAAGGCCGAGAAGCGATTAGTTAGTTTTTAATAAAACCTGGTTACATCCTTTCTTTCCTGATGGTAGATGATCAGAAACAACATACACTGCCTCAAAACTCAACTGGAAGGAAATTGGCTTTGCTGAGGTAGAAAAAGTCCAAAAGCTCTGAGGCAGAGGGAGAAGATCCTCCTCTCGGTGGATGATAAGCCAGTTATTTCCTGGTTTAAATCAGCGCCTAGACACAGCATCGTCATGGGTAGAAGATTAGACTTTAATTTCCTCCTGGGAGATCCTTCACCCTGTCTTATTCTTATTCATTGCACTTCCCCCAGCTCCTCCACCATGAAATGACTTGGAGCCAATTAAGAGCCTTCTGCTTCCTCATCAGTGATATTTATGACTGTGGAAATATTTATGATGCATGGAGAGGCCTTGGGTCAGGGAGGAGACTGGGCTTTGGCTGTCCTTGTAAATGGGATTTGTCTCCTTGTTTTTGCCAGGGTTGTAAAAAGGAGAAGAGTACAGATCATATAGTTTAGGGTTGCTCTTTTTTTTCTTTTCTTTTCTTTTTAGCTAGCCTTTGCATTCAGGCTGTGGATTAATCAGAAACTCTTTTTTATTACTGACCTCCAGCTTGGAGTGAAGGTGGCATTTTGCTTTTCTGGACACTTTGATAGTGTTGCCTCCTTTTAAAAGATCTGCCCTCAACTGCCCTGTCTAGGTTAGAGCTGTAAGTACTAGAAGGAGGCATTTATAACCCAGTGACAGAAATCTCTGCATTCTCTAAGAGGCTCAAGAGGTGCTGGAAGCCACCTAAATAAATGCCTCTGCATAATGAAGGAGGGCCCGGAGTTATTTTGTTTTTGGAAAAATTGCCAAGGAACCCATCACCTAAAACATCCATTTTTCCTCTACCCTCCCTACCTGCTGTCTTTCCTACCTCCAGGAATCTCCTTTCTTCTCCCTAGCCTCAGCCTCCACCTGGATTTGGGATTCCATCCTCTTCTACACAGGCCCACCCGCTCAGCCCACCCTCAAATCTTCCCTCAAAGAGGCTTCCTCAGGGCTGGGTGTGGCTCAGCGGTTGAGTGCTGGCCTGGTCTACACAGGCCCTGGTTCCACCTCTGGGATCACAGAGAGGAAGGAAGAAAAAAAGCTTCTTCCACCGGGTGGGCAGCACTGCTTCTCTCTCTCCTGTGATACTGAGATATGTTATATAAATATACATCACTAGCCGGAGTTCTCTAAGTAGCTACCCTCAGGAACACCTGAACGCCACGCTACCCTTCCCTGCAACTTCCTCTCTTCCCTTCTCTCCCGGAATCCTTGAAAACCAGCATCTCTGCCTTCCTCTCCTCACGTACCCCTACGCAGCCTTGCTCCTCCTCAGCGCTGTGCTGGGAAGGTCCTGAGGCCACCATCAGCTCACGTCTCAGCTGGCAGGGGAGCAGCTAGCTGCCCAAAGTCAGGTTCTTCTGTCCTCAGGACCGACCCTCTCCTGGTCAGCCTCTGGGACTCAGTGTCCTTCCTGTCACTTCCCACACCGTCCCATTTTGCCTTTTCCTTTACTGGGCTTTATTTTTCTTCACGCATCCTAAGGGGGGGTCATTTGTTAAAAGCAGGCCCCTGGGTGTTGCTTGCCTCTCCGCCTCAGCTTTGCTGTCCGAGGGCAGCACCAGCGCCACTGCTCCAATGCTCAGTTGCTCTACAGGCACCTCTTCCTGAGTCACACCTGAAACCAACCTTCTCCCCCAAGGAAGCATATAAAACATGGTTTCTGTCCTCCGGGAGCTTATAATGCAGACGGGGAGAGAGACACACAGATTTTGAAATGTTCTAGGGCAAACCTCGAGAGCTAATTGATACTAAAGATGATGATATAGCAAGAGTCACACCTTGTGACAGCGTTCCGTGAGTGCTACTAATAACAGCGCTGCTTGCTCTGAGTGGAGAGCCTTGGGCGCATTGCCTGGGAAGAGCTTTTATAGGCTGGTCAGCAGGTCCAGTGCAGAGGCTCAGATGTTTATCCCAGACCTGCAGGGCAAGGCAGGACCTTTCAGACCACATTCTTTCAACCTATACTCGATGACGCTGCTGTAACTCCTTCCTTTTTCTTTTTTCCTGGCAGTACTGGGGATGGGATCCAGGCCTTGGCATTGAGATATATCCCCAGCCCTTTTTTATTTTTATTGTTTTTTTCTCTTTTTTATTTTTAGTAAAATAAATTTTTTGAGTAAAGGCCTAAGTCAGTAAATTGCCCAGGCTGGGTTTGAACTTTTGACCCTTTTGCCTGAGCCTCTCAGATTGTGTTGCTCCTGATCCTGAGGTAGAATTGCTCCCCTAGGGGGATTTTGGGGCTCTCCTTTTTGTTTATTGTCTGCTGGGGGCTGCTACCAGAACTTAGTGCCTGGAAGTCAGAAATGGAAACGTCCTGCACCTGCAAGGAGAGGGTTAGTAGCCAGTCACACCTACGTTTGAAAAGAGTCACAGGAGGGCGGGGGAGAAGGGGAAGTAAAAATGACAAAAATTCAATATGTATATGTGCCAGTCCCCCAAGAGGAATGTCATTGCTATGTATGTAAACATAAACTAATAGAAATCATAATAAAAAAGAAAGTGGCAAGACTAGCTGGACGTGGGATATCTCCATGCCCCAAGACCTCCACCTTGGCTTGTTAAAAATACCTAGTAAAATCTACATATAGTGCATGGAACTACCCTCATAGAGGAGTAGCCCGTGTCCAGTAGCCAAAACTAAACGCCTGCCTGGGGCAACCAAACTGACGTACAGAAGGGCGAGTTCAGCCATGATAAGCTTTTTCAAAGTTCTGAGGAAGAAAATCTAGGGAGTTGCTTTTAAATTTTTTAGCATAAATTACGGTTAAATATTACATCAAAACATAAAAATTTACTTTGAATTTCATGTGAAGTTAGTCCTGTAACCTTCCAGTGCTGAAAGCCAGCAGGGACACGCACGGGGCTGTGGAGCGTCCCCAGAGCACCCCACACTGGCACCCCGCAGCGTGTCTCCAGACACCTAATGGCAGGTTTATCAAGCCCTGCGGGGAAGGCTGGCATCTTGGTCAAGGGTCACTTGATGGTGGACTCGCCAGGTGTAGGTGTCAGCAGGGCTGAAGGAAAGGAACCTTGGCTACCCGTGACACCCTGGCCCATCCCTGCCTGGGTGCTCAGTCCTGGCCCAGGGGCTGAACCTGGTGGGGCATGCCCAGGGTCAGAGCCGGAGAATCTGAGCCAAAGTCAAGTTGAGGGGCCAGGCCAGAGGGTGGAGGTACAGGGAGCCCTTGGCTTCGAGGATGTTCCTGGCCTTATGTGCGGTGGGCCTCCGGGGGCCTGGCCTGATTTAGATAAAGGACACTTTCGGGTTTCATGAACAGCCCAGCCTGGTGTCAGAAGCAGGTGTGTGGGACTCAGGTAGGATCCCTACAGAGCCAGTTGTCGCTCTCATTAGAGTAAATCAAGGAGACAAACTTACAAAGGTGTGAATGAGGCATGGAGGAGTCAGAGGGGATGTTGGGGTGATTCGGTTGCTGGCCAGGGGAGCTGTAGCCACCCCAGGCCCCAGGTGAAGCGGGGGAGGAAAGTGAAGTAGAGAGGGCTAGAGATGAGAAGCTTGCCATTAGAGAGTCCTAAGCACACAGCCAGCCTCAGTGGGGACTAAGCGCTGTGACCCCTCTCCCCTGCCCTCCAGTCTTCTGTGGATCCCCCACTCCATGAGAAGCCACAGGATGGGGCCTGAGGGGAGAGTGGGCAGAAGACATGCAACACAGGGTGGGTGACCATAAACACTCCTGTCACTGGAAAGAAACGCTCCACTGTAAATCAACAAATCTTTCATGAGCATGGCCATGAAAGGAAGGGAGAGGAGTGTGTCCCCGCTGGGCCCAGCCCTTGGCGCCATTCTGTTATCTTCCCTCCCTAACCAATTGGGAGCCCAGTGCTCCTCTCTGCACTGTCCATGTCTCAGGTCACCACCCTCTCACAGGTATTTCCTGCACACTCTAACTGCCGTCCCAACCTTGTTAGCTCATCCAATGTGCTGATCCTAGCACGCCACTTCCTTCCCTTAAAACAGCCTCACCGTGGCATCCAGCATAAGGTCCAATAGCTCTTCATGGCATATGAGGCCTTTCAAGGTCTTGCTGCCTCCAAAATCATTTCTTGGCAGTTCATCCTTCCCATTCTGTCTCTCCTCAACAGTCCTTCTCCCCAAATCCAGCCCTCTATGGTCCCGCCACATAGAACTACCCTCTGATCTCTCTGTCTCTGTCTCTGACCCCAGAGCCTTTGCACATACTGTTTCTCCCCACCAAGGTCAGGAAATCCATTCTAACCTGATTAACTCTTACTCCTCATTCCTCTGTGGCTAGTTGCCCTTGGCAAGGGATCAGTGCCTCCCCTACATGCTCCCATAGCACCCTGCTCTGCCCAGATTATAGTATTTATTTATTTATTTGTTTGTTTGTTTATTTATTAATTAATTTATTTATTTTTGGTACCGGGGATCAACTCTGGTCCTTGCACTTGCACAGCAGGCGGGCGAAACCACTGAGCTAAATCCCCTGCCCAAGTATTTATTTTTTCATTAATCCAGTAGATATTCACTGAGTACCTTGTACCTAGCCCTTTCCACCTCAGGGCCTTTGCTTGTGTTGTTCTTTCTGGTTGGCATGTTCCCTTCGCTCTTACCTGGCTGGTCTTTGCTTATTCCTCGAGCCTCTGCGGAAATTCTTCGAAGAGGCGGGTTCCCCTTTTTTCTCTTTCCTAGAGTCTTGTGTGATTTGGGTTGTGGATACCTGTCTCCCCTCTCCTCGTGGGAAGGGAGCAGGTCTGTTTTAGCTCCATTATGCTTGCTTTCCCAGGGCAGAGCCTGGCGTGTTGTTGGGCACTGGTCACATGCGTGGGAGGGGAGGGCGGTGACAGGTCCTCCAGGAGAGTGACAAGGGACCGAGACCATCTGTCCTGTGGGTTTGTGGGGCCTGAAGTTTAAAACAACTCAGAGGGCTTTTAGAAAAACACACAAAATTAGGTGTGAAAGTAAGCCTTTATTTAGTGTGGAAAGTACCACAAATATCACACACAAGAAAAGAAAAATAATACAATTTTTTGTCAGTTAACTTCCTGACACACTGCTACATTACTTCCTACCTCTACGTTTTTTGTCTATGCTTTCATCACGTCCTCATATGGAACGATTTTGTAATATTTTCTGTATAGAGAAAGATAATTAAATCTTTCCTCCAGCATAATAAAAATTATATTATTGATGGCTGGGTTGCATATAACATGTGACTTCATAGCCAGACATACTTGCTGTTCGAGGGACTGCTATAGTTTAAGCCCCACAAAAACACAGAAATTCTGAGAAGTCCTATTTGGCATAATTCCTCTGAAAAAAGAAAGCCCAGTGTCTGCAAGACCTCAAAGCCAATTGTATCCTCAGCTCAGTTTCTCTCAAGCCAGTACCCAAAAGGCCCAGGGCCACTTCAGTACCAGCTCCCATGAGGGGCAGTGTGGCAGAGGGGAAGTCTGAATCGAAAGAGATGGCAGTCTTGACTGAATAGCTGACCTTTGCAAATTTACAAAAACCCATGGCTCCATGCATACATTACTGGGCCCAGAGGTAGGCCCTAGCGCTCACACTTCACTCACCTTGTGATAAATCTGCCTCTGCTGATATTTTCCTCATTAACATGTGATCCAGGGCACCATGCCTGGCACATAGTAGCTGCTTAATAAACACGCTGAGTAAGGGCTGCTAGGCCTCATCACCAGAGGTGTTTTTCCTCTAGTGACTCATTGCCTTGTGTCAAAGCTGGCACTCATGGAATAGAAAGTGCGCTTACTGGAGGCAATGAGAGGAGGGAAGGAGCCTGCTTAGTGGGCTAAGCTTTCCCATCCCCTCATGGCTGGGCCAATAAACGACGCAGACACGTCAGCTGCCCTCATTAGCAGCGAAGCTGCCCTGGCTGCCCTCTCAAGGTAATTCTGATTGGCTCCAATCAGGAAGAGCCAGGTCTGGGCTTTATGAACAGTGACAGCAACTCTACCATTAGAAGAGCAGGTAGAAAGGTCACATTGGAAACACCATTTCCAAGCACAGAGTCATTACAGACAGAACTCATCTGGCTTCCATAGCCATGCTGAGGAGCCTTTATTTATCCAGGCCCACTGTGGGGGCCTTCCGGTTTTCCACTTCCATTTTCTTTCTTCTTGTGAGGGGTTGGCTGTGGGGATCCCACATACATGTTTCTTCATAGCCTTGGGTCCAGAAAGCAGAAAAAGTTTGGAATCTCAGGGAGTGTCTACAAGATCTCCAGTGATGCTGACTAGAATAAAAAACGCTGGGGTCAAAGGGTGCTGCGTTTCTAGATGAGAGGGAGGCTCTGGAGGACTACAGTCTCACTTCACACCTCCTCACCACCACATGGCATGTCCCGCTCCGCTGCTGCATGCTTGGTGCCAGATCCCTGACTGCAGGCGGTGAATCTGTCTCCTCTTGTGGCCCACAGCACTGGGCACGTGCACTGCCTTTATCTTTAATAGCCATCCTTCTTCCAAGATGGACTGCCTACTCCCTCAGTGCACACACTGAGCCTTATTCCTATTTCTGTTCCAGGTTTGTTCCCGAGCACAGAGCCTAATGCTGGATCAGTATTAATGGACTGACCAAAGGAAGGAGTGCGAGTCCTTGGTAATTAGATGAACCAATGCAGTAGAGTTTTAGAGTAGCCGAAGCATGTTAAAGTTTTAGATGAAGTTTGGCCCTGGAATCAAAGTGTTCAAATGCACTTCCACCACCGTGTTAATGAAGACTAATTTGGGGTGGAAATGAGAGAAACCGCAAAACAATAGTGACTTAAATGATTTTTTTTTCCCTTTGGTACCCGGGATTGAACTCAGGACCTTGTGCTTGCAAGGCAGGAGGCGGAACCACTGAGCTAAATCCCTGGCCCTAATAGTGACTTAAATGAGATAGATGTTTATTTCTCTTCCATGTAAAAGGCTAGAAGTGGTCACCTCAGGAGTGTGAATGGTCAGAATAGCTGAGCTTTGCAAATTTACAAAACCCCATGAACAGGTTGCCCGGCCCAGAGGTAGGCCCTTACGCTCACGTTTCCCTCACTCATGAGAAATCTGTCATAACAGAGTCAGAGTGGTCCTGGCTCTGTGGAGTCCTGGGAGACCTAGGCCCCTGCTACCTGGTGGCCCTGGTGCTCATGGCCCTGGTTCTGTCATGGCTCTGGCTGGCTCCCCTCCTGCTCTGCTGTCAGGTCCTCATTCCACCAGCAGGAAGGAGCAAAGGAGAGAAGGCTGAGGATTCCAGGAAACTGTGCATGCCATTTTTGCTTATATGTATTGCCCAGAGTTCAGTCACATGAGCACACACCTTGCTTCAACGGAGCCTCAGGAATGCAGCCCAAATTCCAGAAGGCCACATGCTCAGCTAAAAATGAGGCCTATTATACTTCAAGAAGGAAAAGTTGGGCTTGAGAGGAAAATAGTTTCTGCCATATTTATCAGGTATATGACTTTGGGGACCCGAAGTAACCTTTCTAATTCTCAGTTTCTTCATTCAAGAGCCAGAGGAATGCAAGCAAACCCTTTACTAAAATGCCTGGTATTTGCTCCGGGTTCAGCTGTTATCTTTTTGCTTTGTGGCAAGGCCAGCAGGAAGAGGTGTCCCTTGCCAGGAGGCTGTGCTCCCAAGTCAGGCTGCCAGAACCTGAGTCACTGCTGGTAGTACCCTTACCAGCCCTGTGACTTGGGGTTAATTTCTTGACCTTTCTGTGCCTTAGTATTTTCATCTATAGAATAGGGGTAATAATAATAATAATAATAATAATCCTGGGCCGGGGATTTAGCTCAGTGGTTTCAATGCCTGCTACGCAAGCGCAAGAACCCGAGAATGATCCCCAGTACCCCCCCCCCCCATCCTTTTTTTCATAGGGTTGTTGTGTTGTGAGAATTATTCAAGATACTGTGCAAATCACAGGTACTGTTTAGCATAATACCAAGCAATAAATATGCTGTAAGTGCTAATTGCTTCTGTTATTGCTTCTGAGGACAACTCCTGAGTGACCTTGAGATCAACCAAGAAGAGGACGATGGAGGTTTCCATTGGATTCTGTCTCCCTACCAGACTCCAAAATTCAAATAAATTCAAATCATTCTAAGGGGCAGGACTGATGCGGTAACCAGGAGGCAAAGAATGAACGTGGCTTACAGTGGCTGCATTAATATGCTTGCATTTTGAATTCTCTCCAAATAGAGCTGACCTTAAAAGCAACGGGATGGGGCCAGGGATTTAGCTCAGTGGTTCCACCACCTGCCTTGCAGGTGCAAGGTCCGGAGTTCGATCCCCAGTACCAAAAAAAAAAAAAAAAAAAAACAACAGGAACATCCTCTGCTTTCCTGCTTGTTTTCCCTTCCCAAAGCTGTCAGCAATTCTCATCTACAGGGTGCTCTTCCCAAGGGAGCCAGGCAAGAAGCTCCAGGGTCAGGAGTCCCAACTGGCACAGGCAGGATGGGGGAGGGTGGAGCTGAGCTGCCGCAGGGCTGGGACTGCCTGTCTCCTAAGGCAGAAGTTGCAGGGGAGCAGGAAGTGGCAACATCTGGTCAGTCAGACTGCACCTTCATGTAACCAGCAAAAGACTCCATTTTCCTTCTGCCTGGGATCCTGGGATTAGAGGTTAGGTGCACGGAGCAGTGTGAATATTCATCTCAGGAGGGCCAAGGCTCAGAGGAGTGACAAGAGTCGGGGGCACTGAGCATCCCTAGGTAGCTCGTTGTTTGTTTTGCTTCTTGCAGGAGCCAAACTGGAACCCTCTGCCATTTACTCTGGGTGTTAACAGCTACTCCCTGAGAGACAGGAAGGCTGGGTGGGCGTGGAGGAAGGCACTAGCCGTGGCTCCTGGCCTTTCCCCCAGGATGGCTGTTTGTCCATCTCTGCAGCCTCAGGCGGTTGTGGGCCAGCCGACCTGTAAACATAGCAGAAAACTCCAGCTACACTGAGCATCTGCTGCTTCTCTGCAGTCTTCAAGAGGATGGATCACTTGAAGTGAAAAATAGGAAACAAGCTGAATGACTAAGGAAAGGAGAACAATCGTGCAGTGGACAGTTCCATTGCTTGGAGGGTGTTATGCAGCCATTAAGGAATATAATTGAGATTATGTGGTGACTTTGAAAAATGCTCATACCATGGTGTTAAATGATAATATAAAATTTCATCTTTGCCATGAATATAACTGTAAAAATTAAATATGCCCCTTGACAAGGATAGAAAAGAATACCAAAAAAGAGAAAAAAATGAGTGGTAAGAGTGTAGTCCTGCTGTTTGGGCACTAAATTAAAAAATTGTTTAAAAAATCTCGCTCCCTCTCCTGTCATGTGCTTCTATCCCCGCTCCCCACCCCATCCAAAAAAGGGGAAAATGGAATTTACAAATCTGGCTTCTGTGCTTGCTTATTTATATGCAGTATTCTCATGAAAAGACAGGATTTTTTTTAAAAGATATGATTATTTTAAGTGCAAAGCAAACCCCAGATGAACTTGGTTCCGCGGTCAGTCCCCTTGGGAGGTGGTGACAGATGAAAACTGCTCCTTAGGGGCCCAGCCAGTCCTCTGTGCCCTTCAGGGAGGCTGGTGAGCAAGCAGAATTCCTCAAGTGCCTGGCATTTGCATTCTGGGTCACCTATAGCAGGCTCACATCAAGTAGGCCTTGGAGATGGGGCCAGTTACTGCCTGCACCAGGAGAAAAGCTGCCCAGATGTTCGTGATTCGTTGGATTTGATAATGAACAGAAGAAATAAGAAATCATCACTTTACAATGACCCAGTTTCAAGAGCCGGTTGAATACTGTTATGGTTTCAATCTTAACCGTCCCGCACAAGCCCTAAATGAAAGGCTTGTTTGCCAGTCTGAGGGGCCGTTGGGGCAAGGTGGGATCTTTAGGAGAAAGTTAGGTCACTGGGAGGATGTTGGACCTGGCCTCTCGCTCTCTTGCGTTTGCTGGCTGCTCTGGTGAAATGAGCAGCCTTCTCTGCCATGTGGTCTGGCTATGACGTACTGCTTTGCCACAGCCCCAAAACAGAGGAGTCAAGTAACCGTGGACTGAAACTATGAGGCAAAAAAAATAAACCTTTTATTACACTAATGGAAAGCTGATTAACAGATTCCATTCCTGTCACCAACCCACTGTGTAAGCCTGAGCACATCACTCAGCCTCTCTCCAGGTTAAGGTATTGCCACTCAGCCTGGGGATCTTTTGCTCTGTTCAGATGGAAATAATGAGTCGGCAAAGAGCAGCTCTGCTAGCAGTCCTGAGTCACTAGATGACATCAGGTGATGCTGGATGCTAATAGTTGACATAGCCAACTGCTGGTCACTGTTGTTGCTGCTGTCACCATCCGATGCTGAACACTGTAGGCTAACTCTACCCAGTGCTGGTCTCTGCTGCTGGTTTTTGTTGGCTGCTGGTCTCTGGAGCTTTCTGATGTTAATATCTCTTGAGTGTTGTTTTGGCTTTCTGTGGAAATAACTACTCTGTCCACACTACTCGGGATAAAAATCCTAAGTAGATTTACAGGACTTTTGGAGCCCACTCTACCTGAGAAATAAGTTATGAGCAGGTTCATAGAAACACCAAAGCAAGTCTTTATTTTATTGGGGCCTATGCTGCAGCACAGGGGGATCAGTACACAGGATGGAGTCCTCCTAGACTAAAACTCAGAAGTATCTTGTGGGTGTTCCTTGCGTAGCAACTTGCAGCCTGTTTCAGTGAGGGGCAGGGCTAAAAGCTTGCTGTGAATGATGGGTATGCAGATCCCTCCCTTCCTGATGGTAGCCACCACAGAGTGCTCTCTCCCTTCTTCAAAAGGGCAACAGTAATGGAAGTGGCCAGAGTGGGGGAGGGGCACCATGCTGCCTGTCTGGCAGCACGTTGGAGTGCAGAATGGTGGTTTAGTAGCTGAGGAAAGCACTGAGGCAAACTGTCCCAGTCCATTGGGGTGTAGGGGTCGGGGCGGGGCGGGGCATACAGCTTCGGGCTAAGCCACAACCTCCTCCAGCTGGCACAGGGGAGAATGGGAGTCAGGCAGTTCCCATCTGTCTCAAAGGGACCCAACTTTTACCTGCCTCTTAATGACTGGTGGACAGAAATACATGGAAATAATGGTGCTGAGCACTTTGCAGATAGGAAGCAGAGTCCACTGAGAGAACATGGGCTCTGGAGTCAGAGAGCCTGGATTTAAGCCTAGGCTCTGCCACTTAGGAACAGTGTGACCTCTTGCTATGAGCGTCTTAGTCCCAGTTTCCTTGTCAATAAAATGGGGATAATATTGGACTCAAATAGATTCTTGTGAAAATTTAGTGAACTTATGAGAAAAAGCTTTGTAAACTGTAAAACATGTATTAGTTTTCTAGGGCTGCTGTAACAAGAGTCCATATTCGAGTGGCTTAAATGACTGACATTTATTTTCTCCCAATTCTGGAGGCCAGAAGTTTGAGATTAAGGTGTCAGCAGGGTTGGTTTCTCCAGAAGCCTTGCTTCTTGGCTTGTAGATGGCCATCTTCCCTCTGTGAGCATCTGTTTCCTAATCTTCTGTGAAGACACAAACCATATTGGATTAGAGCCACACTAATGGCCTCATTTTAATTTAATTACCCGCTTAAAGACCCTCTCTCCAAATACACTGAAGCTCTGAGATCCTGCGATTTATGGCTTCAGCATAGAAATTCTGGGGGATGCAATGCAGCTAGCTGATAATAGAGAAATATAAATATTTTTCTGGATTTACCCAGGATTGCCTGTGATGAGCATTTAGAACCCAGCAGGAGACAGCTGACCGAGAGAGGCAGGAGATGCTACCTGCCAAAACTGAGCTGCTCCCTGCTGCCTCGGGGCTGGGATCTTACCGGGCTGTGCTGCCTCTGGCCTCCTTTAGCAAATAAATGAGGTGTCTTCCTCTCAGCTTAGAATGCTTTATTGTAGGAAAGAAGCTGTGAAGTACTCCACAGTGACAAACTCAGGGAAAGCAGGTGTGCACGGGCTGTGGGCCTTTGCCTCTGTTTGTGTGTGAGTGTCCCTTGGAACGCCCCTCCAGGGCCTTTGAGGAGCTAAAGGATAATTAACCATAGGGAGGCCAGGTCACTTTTCCTCCTAATTCTTCCCCAAGTATTTATGTTTTGGGAAAGGTCCTCAACATTTATCAGGGACCTCCTTGGTGCCTCGGGCTGTTCCAGGTACGGAAGGAAGGTACTGCTTCACTGGGTCTGTGTAGTAAACACAGGCAGTGCATGCATGAGGAGAGGACCAGGGGGTTTAGGACCAGGGCTTGGGTGCATGCAGAGGGCCTCAGCCTCAGGACACTGGGTGGTTTGGCCTGCTTTGGCATTTGGCTCTGTTGGACTGAGGAGGAGGTATGTCCAGGTAACTTGCAATCCATCCCTGAAAGGCTCAGAAGCCCTTCTCAGTAGCACAGTCATTCTGGGTCCCAGGACTTTCAAGATGGCAGAAAGGGCTCAGTGGTCTTCATGGAATCCCGGATTCCAGTTTAAGGCCAAAAGATTTACTCTTTTTCCAAATATCTAGACTTTATCCTAGCAGACATCTTCTAGCTGCATCAGTTCACTCCCTCCCCGCAGTGGGCATTTGTTGCTTTTGCTTACCCAGCTTAACTCTCACTTCTCCTGGTAATAAAGCCCCACTTCCCCGAGGGACACATTCCACGAGATTCAGGTGGGGCTTCCAACACAGGGAAGGTGCCTGTCCTCAGTTTGGCCAGTCAGAGTGGCCCTTTAGCTTTTATCACAGTGATTGGCAGGGCTGGGCACATGACTTAAGAACAGCCAATCAGAGTCTGCTTCAGGCTGACAAGGCAGCTCAAAGACAGCTCTGCTTTTCTCTTGGATAACAAGCCCCAAGAGTGAGTGTGGGGCTGTTTACAGCCATCTTCTCTAGTGGTTTAGAGGCACAGAGGAGGCAATCATCATCTGGAGAAAACTAAACCAGTGTGCAAAGAGAAACAGCTGAGAGACAGAAAGTTAAAGGCAACTTTAAAGACAGTGCTCAAGGCTTTGAAACCATCTCTTCTTGGGAGCTAATAAATTTCCTGTCTCATGTATGCTTCTTCTGTGGGTTTCTGTCACCTTGACTGGAATACTTCTGATAACAGATTGCAGCAGCATTTGTACTAAGGCTTCTCAGAGACAGTCAGCCTTTCTCATACTCACTCATTGTTTTCACCCTTGACTTGAACCCTGACTCTGGTAAAACTATGGGCAGAGTACGAGGAGTAAATTCCTTTGGTGATCAGGGCACAAGGTTTTGCAACTTTTTGCAGAAATTACCACTCAGACTACTTCCTGGGGAAGCAAGCTACAGGCTAGAGT